TAGATATTATTAATTATATAGATTACTAAGCTTTATCGACTCGCTATTAATTCTCTTTTATATACTTATAATTAACTTTATATTTATTTTATCGAAGTCTAAAAAAGACTTTAATACTATTATATTAGTTATTAATAAATATATTTAAGAAATTTATATAGTCGATAATTTAATAAGCTAATATTTTACTTAATAAACTTAAAATAGCTAATTAAGATATTTTTAAAATTATTATCTTAAATAAAGATTATAAGTTTTTTTTAGAATTATAATAAATACCATTTTAGCGCCTTAGTATTTCTTTACTTTATTTTACTACTTATAAATTAATAATAATAATAAAAGAATTAATTAGATTATAGAAATTATTATATATTTTTATATTATTATAATATTTAATAAGACTTCTTTATAACTAAGAATTCTATCTTAATTTTAAAAATTACTAAATAATTTGATATTATTAGCGATTAAAAATACTTTTAATAAAATTATCTATAACTTTATCTCGAATATATTTCTTAATCTTTTTAAATCTTTAAATATATCGAATTTTCTTTATATTTAAAATTTAGCGAAGAATATTATTACTTTTATTAATATAAATATTAAATATTATTATAATAGATATTATTAATTAATATTTCTTAAAAATAATAATTATATATTTCTACGCCTTTATAAAGACTATAATATTTTTATAAATCTTGAAATTATTAAGAAATTATCTTAATAATATATTAGCCCTTTTAAAGTTCTTAGTTAAATTAATCGTCTAGCGTATTATCTCAAAATTCTTAAAAATTAATAAGTATATTCTATATTTACTATAGCGTAATTAAAGTTTATACTATAGAATAATTCTTTTAATTATCTAAAATTAAATTATTTATTATTAATTTTCGTCAAAGGCGATATTAAGAAATAAAAGTTTTATAAAATTAATTAATTAATTATTTAATAAGAGAATTATAGCTAAGGATTATAATTTTATTATAAAATATCTTATTAAATAAAAAGATTATAGTTTAATATACGATAAGTAATATAATATTAAAAATCTTAATAATATTATAAATCTTATTAAAGAATATAAAGATAAATTAGTATATATATATAATCTGTAGATCTAAAAAACATTATAAATCTAAAAATCTTATTAAGTATTTATTTAGATATAAGATAAAGGAAGTTACTATTTCTTTAAGAATAATATTTCTTTAAGAAAAGTTTTTTATTTATCTTATCGGTTTTCTTTAGTTTCTTTAGAAAAAAGATTGTTTCCAGAATTTCTTCGAAGGTTTCTTTAAGAAAGATATTTCTTTAAAAAAGACTTTTTAGATAGATATTACTTTTACTTTAGCGAGATCGCTATACTTTCTTCTTATTTATAGAGATATTATTATATAAGATAAAGAAAAGATACTTATCTTATCAAGCTTTATTAAGCTTTATTAAATTTACTATCATTTATTATAAAGTAATAGATTTCTAGATAGAAAGAATCAAGTTCTTATATACTATAATGGCCTATATACCTACCATAACAACGATATTTAAATTCCTTATCTTTAAATATTTATAAGATTAAATTTTATAATTTTTTAGACTTTAGAAAGCGTAAACTACGCTCTATAATAATAAAAAAGAATTCTAAAATTTTAATAGAAAATAAAAAAGTTATTCTAATTATAAATAACGTATATTAATTTTTTAAATAAAGAATCTTAAAAGAGCTAGCGAGTTAACTTAGATAGTCTAATTAAAAAATATAATAATCTTAAATTTATAATTAGCTATATATATAAATTTAAGATTTTTTAACTTAATTCTATCTTATTCTATTATTAATATATATAATAGAATAAGATAGAGTTAAATTTAAAAATCTTAAATTTATATATATAATTAAATATAAATTTAGAGTTATTATATTTTTTAATTAGACTATCTAAATTAACTTATTAATTCTCTTATATCTTCTTTATTAAAAAAGTAGATATATATTATTTATAAATAGAATAACTTTTTTATTGTCTATTAAATTTCTAAGATTTTTTTTTTAAATTATAGAACGCGACTTAGGCTTCTTCTTATCGAGAAATTTTTAAAATTTAATTTTATAAATATTTAAAGATAAGGAATTTAAATATCGTCTATTAAAAGTTTACTTATTAAATTTACTCGATAGTCGATAGCTCTAATTAAAAAATAGGTATATATTATTTAATTTTAGAATAACTTTTTTATTTTCTATTAAAATTTTGAGATTTTTCTTTAAAATTATAGAACGTAGATTGGGCTTTCAAATAAAAAAAGAATATTTAAATTTAGTCTTATAATTATCAAAGCGCAAGGAATTCAAATATCGCTCACCAAAGTTCGCTCACCAAAGACCGCTCATCAAATTTACTCGACAGCCCTGATTAAAATAAATGGTTATGAATTTAATTTATCGGCCTTTACTCGTATATACTAATATCTTAAAAAGATATAATCTAATTTATTAAATTCTTAGAGTTCTAGAATTCTAAAATAATTAGACTAATATTAATACGTTTAACCTTTCTATATCTATGATATCTAGTACTCTATTAGATTGGAGGGTTACCTTACGTGAGTGCCAAGCTTTCGCAATCTTTTTGAACACGCTAAAAGTGCGGAGCAAAGCCGCCTGGCCCTCCACCATCTCTAGTGTACTATTTAAACACCTGACTTATGAGTCAAATGGAATCTTGACGAGAGTCACAAATGGCTTGATATGACTGTCAAGACATGATTTCCAGTCCTGAATGCATCTGCGTAGGTATTTTCAACGACGGTGTCTTGTATTGAGGATCACGAAGAGACTCCACTCACGACAAGCAACCATGAAAAAGAGTATCAAACTGACTCCGGAAGAGGCAACATTGCGGCAGTTGTTCCTTGACATATCCTCTTACGTCGTCACACTCGGGGATTACCACAAAAAGCCAGAACTCAGATTCGCTGGAGGATGGGTGCGAGACAAGCTATTAAATTTACCTAGCAAGGACATCGATGTTGCCATAAGCAATATGACTGGCTCTGAGTTTGGATCTCTAATGAAGCAATACGTGGGGCTGCCCGAAGCACGGCATAAATACGGAAACAACATTCTTGGTCGCTTAGCCAAAATTGAAGCAAACCCTGAAAAGTCGAAGCATCTCGAGACTGCTACAATGAAGGTGCTCGGTTTTGACATAGACTTGGTCAACCTTCGCAAAGAAACGTATACCAATGACAGCCGCAACCCTACTGTAGAATTTGGCACCCCCAAAGAAGACGCCCTTCGTCGAGATTCGACCATCAACGCCCTGTTCTACAACCTTGAAACGTCCAAAGTAGAGGACTTTACTGGAAGAGGGTTTCAAGACATGAAACGCAAAGTCATCAAGACACCGTTGGCACCCTTGCAAACGTTCAAAGATGACCCTTTGAGGGTGCTGAGAAGTATACGCTTCGCGAGCCGCCTGATGTATGAAATTGATCCCGAAGATGAGATGGCCATGAGGGATCGTACTATCAAAGCTGCATTAAGACTCAAGATCACCCGCGACAGAGTGCGTGTCGAGATATTGAAGATGCTGGGGTGGCCAGAACCACATCAATCGCTCTGTTTTTTGGAAGGACCAAGCCCTCACAGAGCGCTATCTTTAATTGATCGTCTTGGCTTGTATAATGAAGTCTTCACTGATCCTACTATTGCAGACTGCAAGTTGGTTGACACTGCGAACTGGTGTCAAACCTACAACCAGCTACGGGACATCATTATGACAGGATCAGAAGGATCAAGCTCTCCGGAATCTTTCAAGACCATTCGACCAATCTTATTACAAAACCCTGAGGATTTTTACCATGCATGGATACTGACATGCTTTGTTCCCTGGGCGAGGGAGCCTCCAAGGTTTCCCCAGAAATCTTCCAAACGACCAATAAGTGCGGCAGGTCTTGCAGCACGAGAAGGTATCAAAGCCGAAAACAAGATCTACAAACTTGTTGACGATGCTGTCACTCATCTGCAAGACATTGTCGAAAAGAAGAACGCCGTCAGTCACGAGGATCAGACGACAACCCTACCCTTAAAGCGGAAGCAGGGAGCCTGCGCTGAAAGTCAACGCGAAATGCAAGGAATGGCCATTCGCAAGTGGGGACCCAACTGGCGAAGTAGTGCCATGTACGCTCTGCTAGCCGAAGTTGCGGAGGCCAAGACAGTGACTGATTCCCGGGCGGTCTTGGACGGATACTCCTCGTGGCTATTGCAACTTCAATCACTCAACCTTCTGAAAGCATATGAAACACCGCTACTCGTGAAGGGTGATGGGCTAATGGAAGCCTTCAATTGCAAAGGTGGGAACTGGCTGCCTGCAGCTTTGGATTGCGTGATGAAATGGCAACTTCGCAACCCAGACCGGAAGGACGCGGCGGGTGCTATCGCAGAGGTTTTGGAAAGGAAGGAGGAGCTGAACATCCCGCCCTGAACAAGTGCTTTCGATTGGGAGCGGCGAGGAGATACAGCAAGCTTTTGGTCCCGGCAAGGACAACGTGGACAGCGAAAGCTTTGTCAGTCGCATTGCAATGGCAGCTCCGCAATTTATACAAGACAAATGTGGCGGACGGCATTGGAAAGGTTTTGGCAATGAGAGAACTGTATCCCTGGCGAGTAGATACGCAGACCTTTTGATGCCGGCAGGGCCCCGTGGATGGGGCAAGATGTGCACGCCGCAAACAAATGGCAACTCCGGATGTGATAGATGAGGCCGCCGGTGTTGCGGTATTGCAGAGACTTTGGTGAGGGGAGAGCAATGTAGCATTGGCTAAGTAGCTTAGATTCACACAGCATCCATCAGTACCTAACAAATGCTCTCAGCGTCTGTGAAAACACTAGATTTAGAATTAAAGCCTCCTGTGCGACACTTTTCTCTACACGTACAATGCTTTTGATATGATCTTTGCCCAGTCTACCACATAATTACTGCATCATGAATTTGGAGGACTTGAAAAGTGCTGCTCGGAGACATATCCAAGCCATCACCGCTATCCACCCTACGCCGGCTTTGCCCAGAGCCTTCCTTTCCAGAGAGGCCCGAAGCACAAGCTTAGCGTCTCTCGTTGAGAACCTTGAGGTCTCAGCTTCAGCAAGATCTACATCTCAAGTAGGATCTTCACTTTGCTCAATTCCTAAAGCAAAAACTGACCAATACTGCAATAGTTGTTTGAAAACATCATTGTGTTGAACGTGTATCTCGCTGAGGAAGGTAACCAGCTTGAACGTGACTATAGACACAACCGCCCGGACAAAGATGCAGCAATCTTTCTTCGCAAATGGGTAGCTGGAGCTGTCCTACCCACCGAAGCTTTTGCAGAGGCTTCGCCATATTCAATAAGTTAGTCTCGTTCGATGATACGATACCCAGAGACTGATATACGATGTATCACAGAAGAAAAGGCAACGCTCACTCCTGATGAAGTCGCCAAATATCATGCCATGAGCCTATCAGGCATACTACTATTGTCTCGCTTAGAGAATATTGAGCCCCTGTCAGAAGACGAGTCTGTTGTGACCATTCTCACATGCCTGGCATCATTCACTGATCTGAACGATCCTTGGACCTATTCGGAAGCCAAGGACCATGCATGTGTTCTCTCCGAACACTACGCAGCTACTGCAAATCTATCCACTATACTTACTGGACTACTTCAGGCACGTGTCAAACCGCTCTTTGCAAAAACCAAGAATCCGGCAATTACACAGCAGGGTCGGAAAGCCATTGATCCTCTTCCAAGCGCGGCTACAGCTCATAGTGATCTCGATGGTGAAACTAAACCCTGGAAGTACCGCGATGCTTATATTGTCACTGTTTTCCAATGGGGTTTGAACCATTTTGATGTGCGTACCATCATTAAGCCTTTCGTAAGCTTACTCTAGCTGATATAGAAGCCAGGAATCGTCAGTGCCGGCGAACTGGCCACTGATCATCCCCCCACTTCTTGCACTAATCGATGACTCTTCAACTAAGTACAAAGTCAAAGGCTGCAGCTTCCTCGCCATTTTCCTTCAGAAGTGTCCTTCGCGGCTACTAGAGCGTACCGGCCTCGGAGAAATATTCGAAAACGCCGTAATGCCGTACCTAATGTCCTTGCCGTCACTAACAGAGGAAGCTGAATCTCTGCAGCTGCTGAAAGCAGCCTATCCCGCACTGATCTCCTTGGCTTTTGTCCGGTTCCCTGGTGAAAAGCATCGACCTGCAAGAATCAAAGCACTGGACAAAATTCTTCGAAATGGGATATTGAAAGGGTATGCGTATGCTGGAGAGCATGTTAAAATAGCAGAGTTCTTGATCAACGAAATGGCAGTCCTTGTGAACGAGCTGGGTGTTGAATCTATCAAACATCTAAAGGTATTGTGTGAGCCCCTGTGAACTGAAGTATCGCTGACGCTACTGTCAAGCATGTTCTTCCCTTGCTGACTGGCATCTTGGCTGCACCATTTGCTACAGCCTACCCGCCTCTGCTTCAAGCTTCTGTGAAAGCAGTACAAACGATCATTGTCGCTGATTGGCCTCGCATTGCTCATCATAGGGGCGAGATCTTGAAAGGCTTGACAGTCTGCTGGTGCCGTATTGGATTTGAGGAGGCGCAATGTCAGGAGCTCAAGCAAGTGCAAGAGAGCATCGAACGAGCGGTGCAGCTTTTGACATGCGTACTGATGGGGAAAGTCCTTTTAGTAGAGGAATACCAAACTCTGATTGACAGCGACAGCAGACTTCGAGATCTATTGGTGGTCTAAAATACAGAAGCTAAGTCGCCATGGTATTGGGGCTCACCACCGATTCCCAAGCACACCGACCCCACGCGCCATGCCAATGCACGAAACGCCACGCTAAATTTATGGCAGAAATCGTGATTTCGTCTCCAGGATGTAAGATGTCCTACGGATCCACGCGCTGCTTGAAAAGCGATTTGCCTTTTACCCATTGCCGATAGGCTTTGTACCGCTTCTTTGCCGTGTCGGCTTCCGTTACAGTCAGAGGGTCTTCTCCGATGTCAAGAAACTCTGCATAGTCTGCCAGATCGTCATCTGTCGAGTGCATACTGTTCACTGCATCTGCTGAGATGCTGTTGACATAGCCAAGGAACTCTAGTTTCGGGTTCGGCGGCATATCAGCCGTTACCACAAGAGGAAGATTCAAGGGATGGCTGATGTAGCGTTGGTACTCATGTGCCTCTGTATCAGCCACAGAAGGGTTGAGCGAGTTCGTAACGAATTGGTCGAGAGTCCATTGCGTCACGGCCGATTTGTCTTTGAGTGCCTTCTTCTCTTTCGCGGCTTCAACTTGTGACGAGCCGTCTTTGCTCTTGGCGTGGGAACTCTTTAAGATACTATGCTGAGGCGGTGGTTGCTCGCCGAGCTGAGATTGCAGCCATGACGGTAGAGCGCGCTTTGATTGCGGGACACTGTAGGCAGGCTGTGTCTTTTGGTCCTCACTTATCTCCTCTCCAGTATCTGTAATCGTAACCCCTTTCCTCTGCTGTCCTTTGTCGGGTGAAGCGTGTTCATGACCGTCTCTGACCCTGAAAGGACTCAGATCGTACTTGCCTTCCTTGGTCGATTTGAATGGTATATACCTGAGGGTGGAGTTCATCTTGTAGGAGAACATCTTTTGGAAAGATGATAATGCAAGAGGACGGTAGTATTCAAACCAATACTCGTCGAAAAAGCCGAGTGATTTTCCAGAAAGGTAACCCTGTGGCTTGGTATCTTCGGGCATTGCCGGTCCGTCAAGATGCTCCGGGGTGAACCACTGGATATAATTTTTCCGCCTTGAACCGGACCATGAGCGAGGATCTGTATGGTGAAGGTAGTAATCGGTCGAGAGATCCCACAGCATTGGCTGGCCCTGAACGAATATGTAATTTCCAAGGAACAAATTGTACGCTTCCTGTCGTTGTTTATCAAGGAAGGAGTTGTTATAATAGCGCTTGAAACTTTCCACCATGTCTCGAGAATGGCTTGTCCATTGATTAATTTTCCTATATGTTTCCATAGTATTTACCAGATGAGAACCGCCATACTGTATGGCGATAGTGTCGCCATGATCGTGATACCTAGAACCCTTGTCAGGGCGATGCCGTGATTGTGCTTTGGAAATGGTACAGCTTACATGTGTGTAAAAAGGTTGACAGCGTCAGTATCGTAGTCGATCGAGGTATCGCTGATGATACCCAGGGCATGCAGCTGGTGGCCCAGAGCTCGTTTACCAATGACAAATTGAGCGGCGTTGGTTCTGTCGAGGCAGTCGATGCAATTGGTCCTTGCTACCCCGTTTTGCATGCTCAGCTCTCCAGACTCGTAAGTGCCATTGCGAAAGAATCCTGTTCGAGTCATCACATCTTCCGCGGTCGACTCCAGCGTGCCAATAACATCTTGATCTCGACTGATGACCACAGTGCTCAGCCTCCCAGCAGTCCATATGTAGAATGAATTACTAACCTTTTCGAAGCTCGGCTCATGTCCCATGCCTTATAATGAATCTTTTTATCCGTGGGCAAGAATTGGTTCAGGTATGATATTGCGTTTCCGTACTCCCGAAGAAGAATTGATTCACGAGGCGTTCGCTCACGAGACTGTAGCCGTCAGCCAAGCAGAAAATAATCTTGAGCTTCTGGGAAAACTTACCTTGACTAAGTTGAGAACGAATATTGGAGCCCCATAACGCTCAAAGAGATTATCGAAGTGAAGAGCTGCTGCACCATAGAAAGGGTCCACGAGATTCACTGTGGAGTTAGCGTCAAGCGTTGAGAATGCAGCGGGACGCTTACATTCGATGTCTGGTTTGGGTGACACTCCAGTATTGTCCTGCGTCCAATACAATGGAATACTTCCACGGTGTTGCACATAGGACGTATAGTTTGGGTTGCAGAATAACTCGGGGCCCGGTGCGTGGAATGAGGTCGTCAACATCTCTGACACAATTTGTTCTGTCTCGACATCGTTGGCGACATATCCCTGGAAGGCATATTAGCTAGCTGTTCACTAGACAATCGCAACGCTTGCAGCTTGCCAGATCGTTTGCTCCACGCTTCAAAAACCGTGCACCAGCGAAGAACCTTGACCGTCTCGCAATGATGGTGATATGGATAGTTCGCCCATAGACGGATAGAGCTAAGGAGATATTTGTTAGAAGTGCGATCACGCGGGCAGGAGGACATGTTTACTAGCTTGGTCTACGAAACCGTGCACCATTGGCAAACACCAATCGTAGGTATTCTTCAAGGCCTCCGATGCAGGGCTAAGCAAATGGTGGTTCCAAACGAACATAGAATTCCGGTGCTTTAGGGACGAATCTGCGTTGCCCTGTCGCATCGCCTGCCTCTCCCTGACGATATTGTGTTGCAGTGTACGTGTTATATCGTAAGAATAACTGAAGTAAAACGAACGTGACAGATCAAGGTTGCTAAGAATACCAATGAAACGCGCTTCTTCTGCGTCTCTGTCTACCTTGAAGCGAGATGAAGAGGACATGGTCAAGGAAACGAGTTCAGTTCCGTCAACTTGATAAAGGTAGTGGCCTCCAATCATGGCGACCTGACTTCTCTTGGTGATGACAAGCATGTAGTATGCACCAGTAAACCTGATGAATCCGAGGAGACCCCAAGTGCTACATTTGAGCTTCAAGCCTCCAGAGGCCCTGTTCCCGTCATCCACCGTATTCAACAGCTGGTTCATTTCTTTCTTGGTATACACAATATCATCTTCAGCAATGCTCAGATCTCCGGAGTCAGCAGTCCGATCTATTTTTAAGATCCTGAATTTTCGATCCACAACATCACCTCCCACCAGGTAGTAGCGGCTTGCTGTTTCATACAACGAGAATCTGTGCATCTGACATACACCCTCCTCGCCAACCTTCTGGTAGACGGCGCCTCTGTTTCGTTGCGCTGCTGAGGCCGGACTTGTGGACCTTGGGAAGGACTTGGCGGTTGCCCGCTCTTCGTCCTCCCCGTCTGAGTGCGCATGATAGGCTGGCTGCTTGGGGGAAGTTGGTGCATCATTGGATAGGTGGGGAAAAGTCACGGTCTCGGTGAGTTTTTCATTGTTGGTGGATCCATCGTCTATCTCCACTTTCAATGTCACCGGCTGTGGGCTGTTATTGCTACTGGCCTCCACAGTATCTGGCTCTGCATGGCTCGAAGCTGCTGGGGAAAGGCGTGACCGTAGGGTCCCATCAGTGAGGGTAGCGTAAGGCTGGCAATCCGGGGTGCCATCTTTTGGAGGCGGCAGCTGCAGAGGGGTTTGCTTGTCCTCCATCACCTCAGACGAACGTTGGTTAGTAGATACATCATAGTAGAATCACGGGTGGGAATGATTGATAGCGATACATTGCCGATAGAGTGTACCGCTTCTAACGGATGGCAGTTCATCCAACACCACTGATGCTCGAAGGGAACAAGCTTCGAGAACGATGTTTACTTTATCTATTTTTCCATTTTAACGGATAGTAAAGTACTGGCCGCAAAGCCGCTTCATTAGCTCCCGGTACTCGAGGGCTCGGAATCAAGTGACGGATTTGCCGTTTCTCACCAAAACCCGTACTTTTACAACCTCAGGCATTTAAAGACGTAGGTAATAAACTCCTCTAAAATTTCCGTACATGATAGATATTAATAAGACCTTTATTTACATTATCAGTATATCAGTATATATAAAAGAATAAGGTAGGGCTAAGCTTGAAAACCTTGAATTTGTATGTACAGCCAATTATAAATTCGGGTTCGCTACGCTTTTTGGTTAGATCGGCTAACTTATCGCGGGTAAATAAATTAACGTCCGCAACTATCAAAAAAATAGATATACGTTATTAATATATAGAATAACTTTTTTATTTTCTATTAAATTTTAAGATTTTTTTTTTAAATTGTAGAACGAAATATGGGCTTTCAGATAAAAAAAGAATTTCTAAATTTAGTCTTATAATTATTAAAGGGCAAGGGATTTTAAATATCGCTCATCAAAGTTCGCTCGACAGCCGGATAGCTCTAATCAGGTACACATTATTTAATTTTAGAATAACTTTTTTATTTTCTATTAAAATTTTAAGATTTTTCTTTTAAATTATAGAACGTAATATGAGCTTTTAAAAAAAAGAATTAGTAAATTTAATCTTATAGATATTTAAAGATAAGGAATTTAAATATCGCTTATTAAAAGTTCGCTTATCCAAGTTCATTCGACAGCTCTAATAAAAAAATAGAGGTATATTATTTAATTTTAGAATAACTTTTTTATTTTCTATTAAAACTTTAAGATTTTGCTTTTAAATTATAGAATATAATATGAGCTTTTAAATAAAAAGAAATTATTAAATTTAGTCTTATAAGTATTTAAAGATAAGAAATTTTAATATCGCTTATTAAAAACTTATTTACTCTATTTAGAATACTTTTTAATATAAGCTTAAATAGTCGAGTAGTAATAATTTTAATAAAATTCGAAATTATTCTATACTATTTTCGATTTAAATCTATTAATCTCCCTCGCTAAAAAAATTCTAAGATTTCAAAATTCTAAAATTCTAATAATCGTAAAATCGTAAAAGTTATAAAAATAATAAAAAAATAATAAATTATAATAATAATAATAAAATTAAAAATTATTATAATAATAAAAATTATTATAAAAATACTATTAGTATATATAAAAGAATAAGATAGAATTAAGCTTGAAAATCTTAAATTTATATATATAGTTAATTATAAATTTAAGGTTATTACGTCTTTTAGCTAGATCGACTGAGTTATCGCGGGTAAATAAAATAGCGTCTATAACTATTAAAATCTCTTACTCTACTTTTAATCCTTTAATAACTTTACTATTTTCTATTAAAATTTTAAGATTATTTTTTTAAGCTATAGAACGAAATGTGTGCTTTTAAAAAAAAAAATTTTAAATTTAGTCTTATAATTATTAAAGCGCAAGGAATTCAAATATCGCTCATTAAAGTTCGCTTACTAAAGATCGCTCACCTATTTACTCGATAGCCCTAATCAAAAAAATGTTTATGAATTTAATTCATAGGCCTTTACTCGTAATAGATATTAAAATTATTTTCTTATTAATTAAATCTAAATTAATTTAGAGTTAATTAACTCTTTAGAAACTTATTATTAATATAACTTCTTCTTTTTCTATTGAATTTTACTATTATTTTAGTTAATTATAGAACTTATTTAACGCTTTCTAATAATTTAAAATTTATAAAATTCGATTCTATAGTTCTAAGTAAATCTTAAATTAAAGTATTTTTACTCTTCGAGAGTCGAATTCATTCTCGAAATTAGATTTAAAAATTAATTACTTTTTATAAATTTAATTTATAAGCCTAAACTTATTAATATATATAAAAGAATAAGATAGGGCTAAGCTTAAAAATCTTGAATTTATATATGTAGTTAATTATAAATTTAAGGTTATTACGTTTTTTAGCTAGATCGGCTAAGTTATCGCGGGTAAATAAATTAGCGTTTACAACTATTAAAATCTCTTATTCTACTTTTAATCCTTTAATAACTTTACTATTTTCTATTAAAATTTTAAGATTATTTTATTAAATTATAGATCGAATATTACGCTTTTTAATAACGTAAAAATTCTAAAATTTAGTCTTATAATTATTAAAGGGTAAGAATCTTAAATATCGCTTATTAAAGTTTAATAGCTGTTATAGATATAATAGTAACGGAGAGATAGAAGATAACGCTATTATAGCGCCTTAGCAGATAGTACTTTCTAGTAGATTTCTTTATAGAATCTTATTATCTTATATTTAATTTATAAATCTATAATAGTAATAGTAATTAATTTTTTACTATTATAATAATAGTAGTAATATCGAGTTATTATATAGTAAGTATTATATAACTACTTACTATATATTATATACTCGACGTATTAATAACTCTTACTATATTAAAAGATTTAGTTAGATTCTTAAATTCTTAATCGACTTTCGCTATATTTCTTTCTATATTATAAAGATTCTAATTCTTTAATATAAGAATCTTACTCTTTCTAAATTATTCTTTTTATATTATGAGAATTCTAATTCTTTAATATAATAATCTTACTTCTTTCGCTATTATTCTTACTACGTTATAAGAATTTTAAGAATTTTAATTCTTTAATATAAGAATCTCGATTTTTTAGAATAAGAAAGCTATTATTAAGCTAACTTCGTTATTAATAAGAAATCTTATTAATATTAATTATTAGATCTATAAGTTTCTTATAATAATAGAATAAATTTATTATTATAAGATTTTCGAATTTATTAAGTACTCTATTAATTATATTATTTAAAATTATAATTATTAGCTAAAATAGATATTAGAAATATCGAGATATTTAAAAATATTATTAATTAAATCTTTAACTTTTCTATATCGCTAATTTATAAATTAATCTACTTTTATAAGAGTAGTTAAAGTCTTTAATAATCGAATATATATCTTTCGAAGTAAGTCTAAATTTATTTAATACTTTAAAAATTATAATTTATTTTTTATAGATTCTATATCTTATATCTTATTAGTAGATACTTCTTTATATTTATTTAATACGATCTTAAATTCTATTAAAGATATTAATTAAATTATTAAGATAATCTTAATAAAGAAGATAATTTATAAAGATTTAATTAATTTAGCTATAATAAAATATTAGTTATAATAAAATATTAATTTTTTATAATTATAATAAATAGCGTTATAAGAATTATTATATAATATTTCTAATTAATTAAACTTATAAAAATTATCTAGTAAATTAAAATTATTTAAAATTACTATAATAAAGAACGCTTTTAATTATATATATTAAAATTCTAATAATCTTAATTTTTTCGATTTTAATTATAATAATAAGTTTATTAATATTAAATTATTAATCGAGTATACTAATAAGAAAATGTAATTTCAAGATATATATTTATTTATAAAACGAGTTAAGAATCTTATTATTATTAAAAACATTAATCTAATTTAAGAAAACTTATAAATAAGCATATATAAAATAATATTAAAATATTAAAAAATAAAAATTTCTATTATTAAGAAATATATTATTAAATTTAGTAATAATATTAAAAAATAAACTATCTTATTAATTATTAGATTTAAAAAACTTACTACGATAGCGATTAACATTATACTTCGCGAGCGTTATATTATATATAATATAATTTTTATTATAAATTATATAAGTATATTTAGAAGATTTTAAGATTAATTAAAAATATAGATATAATATTTATTAAGAATTAATTTAATATTATTTATAATAGTATTAATCTTAAACTTCGATATAATATTAAAAAATCTAAGAATATTAAACTATAATTTTATTTTTTATAATTTTTAATAATTATAAGTATATATAATAAGCTTATATTAATAGATATAAAAGAAATTTAGATTTAGAAAGTATAGCTTTTAAATCTTTTTTTTAAATAAATTAATAATCTTATTTTTATAAAAATAGATTTATAGAGTAATATAATTAGTATAATAGTTTATTTAATTATAAAGATTAATTGAGCTTTATTTAATTAAATCTTTAATCTAATTATTAAATAGAGTATCGCTTTTTATATTAATCTAAATTATAGCTTCGATATTCTTTTTATTAGAATTCTTAAGCTTATTAATTATAATAATCTCGCTATTTAAGCTATTTAAATAGACTAATATAATTAAATTAGTATTTAAATATAAATTAGCTAAAAGTTTTTTTATAATATCTCTAGATTATTAAATTTATAAATAAATTAGATTTTTAATTTTAAGAATAATAGTAATCTCGTTCTTTCTAGCTCGCTTTTAATAATATAAATAGATTATTATATTTTATTGAATCTTAATATAATTTAGTAAATCGCTTTCGATTTTAATAATAAAAGATTTATTAAGTATTTAAAGATATTATAAATAAGAATTTTAATAAAGAGTATAAGAAGTCTATAGAATTCTATTAGTATTATATTATGAAAGAATAATCTCTAAATAACGCTTTTTAAAAAGCTTTAATTTTTAAATAAGAAGAATCTTATAATAATAATAATTATAATAATATATAGAATATATATTTTATAAATAAAAAAGTTAATTACTGTATATATATAATAAATATAAAAAATTTAATTTAAGGATTTTTTTTTTAAGTATTTACGATTAGATTATAAGAAGGTTATAGAAATAAAATCCTCTATTATTATTATTAATAAGATTCTCAAATTTAAAGTGAAAGATAAGAAA